CCAAAGAGAAAGGAAAAATTGAAATCGCATCATATGACCCCTTTAACACAAACCTGCAGTACTGAAACTGGTGAAGCACTTCTGTTATCCACTAGATGTCGGTGTTTATCTATGACAAACTTTTCCTTCCTCTAAATGACTGCCTGTTTTATTGGTAAATATAAAAAAGCTTCAAATGCTGCTCAGTTTCAACAGATAGCTTGTTTACTGTGTTTTCATATTTAAATGCTTTAACGCAGAATTTGTTTGGATGTTAAAATTGGTGACAACAAAGCCACAAACAAACAAAAACAGCATTTTTAATGTATGTTTAATACATATATATAATAATGAAGTGCATTGATTACACCAAATGAAAATTTTGTTGCTGTAAATAAATGTACATGGATTTCTAAACATCTGACAGCATTACAGATGGACACAGATCTCACACGTTTACCCTAGCTCTTCAGAGATCAAACCTCATTGTGTGGTTTTCTGCAGACAGCCAAAGAATTAATCTATCAGATTCCTCTGTCATTAGAGAAAAGCAGGAAACAGACACGAAGAAGACGTGGACAATAAATATTTAGCAAGGTAGGCCTAAATATTTTTGATAATGACCATAATTTTAGTAAATCTATCTATCTATCTATCTATCTATCTGTCTGTCTGTCTGTCTAATTTATTTATTTAGGCCCATTTATTTATTTATTTTACAATTGTCCACAGACGCTGGCATCAGTTATGAGAATGAGATGAGCAGATTCATTACCATGGTGATTAGCGTTGCCATGATTACACTAATTTTAGTACATATGAAATATTTTAAACTACTTTTCTTTTTTTTTTTTCCTTATGGTAATAATTTTTGAGTAGCCTGAGAGACATGAAAGTAGCTGTCAACTTCAGTTACACGGATGAGCGAATTGATACAGCGTCAAAGACCATAATTTTAGCAATTATAAGATATTTACAACTTTAGCTATAGGCCATATCAGTGTTGTGCGGTGGTGTTCTGAAATGAGGAGCAAAAGTCCTCAAAGTTATTTATTTATTTAGTTTAACTAAATATACATAGAATATAAATAACACATTAAAAAACTGAATTTGGTCTTTGTTAATGCATTAAGCCATATTAGGCATAATAATAATCTAAAAATGCGCTTCATGTGTTAGATCTTTTAATATCAGGGTCATTCTACAGAAACGTCCACTTTTGGTATGGCAAGATGTCTTAAAATGTATTTCTTTTTGTAACATTTAAACTTAGACCACATTATTAGATTGCCTTTTGACTTTATGAATACACATAAATGACAGCTTAATGATTTTTTTTTATTTTTTTGTATAAGATCGCATGTACCCTTTTTTTTGTCACTGGTGTTACCTTACTTCTTTGGCAATTTTAATAAAGGTTTTTATGAAATATTATTTCTCTTTTTTTTCAGCACATGTAGTCAGAGTTACATAAAAATAATGATAATGCAACAAATAAGGAGATTATGTTTTATTTATTTTAATCAGGTTTGTTAAAAGTGTGAATGAATGATGTTAGTTCATTTGCACAAACATGTATTTGCTATAACAATGAAAATATTAGAAAAACAGTTATAAACAAGTAATGATACAATCCTTTAAATCTTAACTCTTGAGTGTAGCAGAATTCAATAGATGTAAAATTATTATCATGTCACATGTGACACATTTTATAGAATGTGACAGAAAAAAACACACAGTAACACCAGTGACACAATGTAACACCAGCCACAACGTTGACATCAGCAAACCGCTCACCCACACGACACCATTCACGCTGTCTGCCATCTGCCCTGTACAGTGAAAACCGGGATTCATCCGTGAAGAGAACACCTCTCCAAAGTGCCAGACGCCATCGAATGTGAGCATTTGCCCACTCAAGTCGGTTACGACGACGAACTGCAGTCAGGTCAATTTTCATGAAAAATGCATTTTACAAAATGGCTGCTGCTAGGTATCAAACCACTTGTTGTCAATCATGGTATACTCTCTAAATTAAGTAATTTAATCCAATTGTATTCTAGTTTTTTTTACAATTCCCTAACAATAAAGTAGGTCACACCAGTGACGTCAACTAAAAGCTTCATATGAAATCATGAGATAAATGAGAACATTTCTGATAACTGAAAAGAGACAGTGGACTTACCATGGGCCTGCCTTCATAGATCTTCAGGAAAGGGGAAGGAGGTAGTCGAGTGATGTCATCAGTGTGATTTTTTTATTCCAAAATAAAATACTTTTGTTAAGCGGTAACACCAGTGACACAACTCCAGGGGACCACTATTTTCATTATATATTTTATAATAATTATTTGGCATTTTGTTTTTTTATGCCATTTACATCATATATTTGATCGTTATGAATAAGACTTTTGTATTTGAAATGGTAGAAAATCCTGTTTTTTACCTCAAAATAAAGCACTTTCCCTCTGTACATGGCTGTGGGGACAAGCAGTTTTGTGGTACTTGAAATTCTATATAATTAATAAAAAAAAATAATGCCACATTGATAGCTCAGGAAGGTGTAATTGTTCAAATAACATATTGTTTAATTTTAAGATTTAAAAATATTGTAACCTTAATGTGTATTTCAATTGTAATATTTCTGTAAAGTCTAGGGACAGAAAAGTGGACGTTTCTGTAGAATGACCCATCACTGTCTTAATGCATAAGTACGGAGCGCCACACATGACATGCAGGAAAAAAATATAGATCGCACGAATTCGTTCCCTTGTTTTACTAAATCGTGCGCAAGACATTACTAAATCATTGCCACGTTTTAGTTTAATCAAATCAAGCACGAACTATTATATCATGCGCATAGGCTGGCTTGACTTTAGGCACTACACCGGATGTTCACAGATGACGACTCACTTGACTGGGGCAACGTAAGGACACGGGTTTTTCCCTCGCTAATTTTACAGTTTACTAGAGCCTCACATGCTAAAATTGCTTAATATTTCACGTTGGTTTTCAATGCTTATATTTTAGTTGGTTACTTTTAAACGTTTCTGACAGCTGTTTGTCTACTAATTTTTGTATAGTACAATTTCATATGCTTAGTCTACATTGCTTCTACTGATATGCTACTGCTTTTTTCCACACAGTTACAGCTGTTGATTCCTTCTCAAAGTTATTGTCACCTCAAGATATAAGGTGTCACCCTACAGAGTTATCCTGAGTCAGTCAAGCTGTGTGAATGACATTCATTTTACAATAAGGTAATTGTGAACTTGCTCATTTTTAAAACATTTTTTATTCTTGATTTTATTACTTGTGTCATGACCTCTTTATGTGACCTCTTTAATCATTAATAAGATGGCATGTGATTTACATATGTGATTACTGTTCATCTGTACTTGCTGCCCACCATAGTCTCTGTGGCTCCATTTTTCCTCCTGTCTTATGTGTCTGTTTCAGATAAGCACAGAGTTCAATAGAGTAGTCACCACCGATCAACTGCAGTCATTCTTGGATGGACTAGATGCCTTGGTGTCTTTTAGAGCTGTACAAAGCAGCTGTATCATCAAGCAGGAGGTTGAGCCTTAGCAGTGTTATACAGTGCCTTGATAAGGAGGTATGAATAAAAATTAACTCAATTTGATCTATTTTATCCCAGAATCAGTAATAATTTATTCTAAAATGCTTTTTTGACTGTCAGTCAATCTAAGTACTATACTATATATCGTGCCTAAACATGTCATCAATAATATCATGTACAAATATAAAGTACAAATGTAACAAAATATTAAATGAGTTGACAATAGTTTTTTTTTTCTTTATCTGAAATCTCAAATGCTGAATGTTGGTCAAGTGTTTAATATAAGGAAAAACCTTTGAGCATTCATTAGAAATAGACAAGTTTCACATGCTTGTTCTTATTGCTTTTAGTAAGAGTTTAATACATGAGTATTGTTCAACACTGTGAATGACCATGTATTGTGCAAATCATTCAAAGGTCAAAAAGTTACATGTACTTGTTTATATAGAGTACACTTACAATCTTTTTAAAGTAATTGATGAGCCATTATTTTGTATCATTACACACGGCCTGCCACTCCTCATTTTTCCCCAATTCATGCCTTTTTCTTTTCCCCTCAGTTGTTTTCTATACCTCTTTTATACCACTCATCTACCTTTCTTCTAGTTCTGTATATTAGAGAAACTTCGATGTTTTGATGAAATGGATGTTTAAGCACTCGTGTTCTTAAATGGCTTTTTAAAACCTGTTTTCCTAACAAGAATTTGTATTCTCAAACCAATGTTAAAGCTTGTAGATCATTGCTTGAATTTATTTCAATAACATTTTAATATTTTTGAGCAGACCAGTTACAAGTCTATTTATTATGAGCTGATTTGAGTTTTCTTGAACTGATAATGTAGCATACACTGAACAAAATTATAAATGCAACACTTTTGTTTTTGCCCCCATTTTTCATGAGCTGAACTCAAAGATCTAAGACTTTTTCTATAATATATGGCAATAATCAGCAATATGCTTTCACACAAATAACTTTATTTTTGAATGTTTCAATATGCGTTGACACAAATGACTTGTTTGACTTTTTCAATGATACAACATGGCACTGAGTTGTTAGAAAAGAAATGCGTAGAGTCGTTATTGCTTGATGACGTCAGGAATCGGCTTTTTTAACCGGTTCAATGAGCCGATTTGTCCGAAAAGAACCGGTTCGCGGAAATGAATCGGACTTTGCATCACTAGTAGCTGTTGGACAGTATCTTTCTTTAGAAAAACGAGCGATTTATACACATTTTATATTGTAGTATTGGCGGGGTTTTTTTGTACTACAAATTGTTTTCTCATCCAATATTTTAAGGAGACACTGCCTCCCTGCCTCCTCAGAGGAAACGCCCCATATGTGTGTTATGAGAAAGTAGCGCAAGCGGATTTTAGCGGATATCGGACAGCGTTGCCATTATAGCAATGCCAATGGCGAATATTATTCCTGTGATTGACAAATCAGAAACAAGTATGGAACAGTGTAATAATAATAATTAAAAATATCTATCTGTCTATCTATCTATCTATCTATCTATCTATCTATCTATCTATCTGTCTATATATAGAAAAAAAAACATCTATGCCTATTCTAGATGAGAGAACTGGCTCATGTTGACTGCTGCGCCGTTATCTAAAAATCTACTGCTTCCGTCTAACTTCTCATATTTACCAGTTTGATCGGTAGGGATCCATCTGTAATCTATTTCTTCCCTTCGACCCACGAAGGTGCAGACAGGACGCACACTGCAGCCTACGGTAGTCTACTCTACTGCACATAGAGGGCGTTTTCCCAGCATGAGAAACATTTGATCGGTACACCCAGATGGGTATTGCAAACCCACATACTACATCACTGAACACAAATCAGAGAGGGAAGCAAGAGCTCAAGTAGGCTACAGTGTGCGGAGCATCTGTAGATCTGTAGTATACTGTGAATCTGCCACATGTGTTTGGACTCTTACTGCACCGCCGGTGGATATTAAATCACTATCGGAGATTTGTTTCCCCTTAAAGTGGCTGTAGATATCTCATCGAACTTGATTTGACCAAAACACCTCCTGTTCTTGATGATACAGTGCTGTTTTTAAACCCCGCGGCTGATAGGATATGGCGAGCGTTCAGCCGGTGGCCACGCCGGTCGACAGAGCACCTCCTCCCGGCCACAGGCAGCACGGAGCTGCCGCGGGCTCCGGTACCGGTGACATGATGATGATGATGATGTCTAGCTCCGGATCGGTGGTGCTGCCGGCCGGGGTGATAAACCCCTCGCTTCCGATTCGGAATATCAAGACGAAATTCGCAGTCCTCACCGGTCTCATTCAAGTCGGCGAGGTCTGCAATAGAGATATAGTGGAAACAGTGTTGAATCTGGTAAGTGGCACTTCTTGTGGCTGGGTTTCAGAACCTACTGAACTAGCTGCTAGACAGCGTTTTTGGGGCGCTTTGAATGATCCAGTGGATTCTAGATAGGCAGTTATCTTGGTTTTGATGAACACTGCATGAACCCCATGAATGAATGATGTTGTGATATATCACAGGTTGTGAATATTAGGCTGCAGCGCTTATGTGCTCATTACATTCACTGACATATGGTAAAGTGTCTGTCATGCTTATTAACAGCAACCAAACAGGTGTCTTTCTGTAGTTTATATGCAACCTGTGTTACAGTCCTACACTGAAAAATCAATAAACCTTCTTAGAAACAAGACAGTCTCACTAAACATGTTAGACTTTTTGTTAAAAACAATTTGGTAGTGGTGGAAAAAAAAACAAACAAACTTGATTTAAAAAAAAGTTTGCTTCTGAAGTGTGTTTATCATGTTTTAAGGATGTTCACATATTTTTCTGGACAACTAGACAAACAACACGGTTATTTATGTGTTTACTTTTTTTTCCAGTGTAGCTATTTGAAATTGACTAATCAAAATGATAAAGTTTAATGTGTTAAAAAAAAAGAAATGTGACTAACTTTGTAAACAAAATATTTGTGGGGAAGATTTAAATGAATTTGTCTCACTTTATTAAAAATGACAATATTTAGAGGAGCATCCAGGCCTAAAAATGTCCTTCTTTCTCTCACTTTTTTATTAGTACATGCCAACACAGAATATAACTTTTTTTGTACTCCGTGTTAAAGTCATAATCAATATTATTTCCATTAAAAATGAAATATGCTATGTATGAAGCATCTGGGAAATAAATAGGCTTATATATTCATATATCACAACATACAATGTTAGTCTGAAAGCACTATGCAATTAAGATGCAGTGGCAATGAAAGTTTGTCCTTGTGTGTCAGTGCAAGTGTTTTGTGACATATTTCTTGTATTGCACACTGACAATCTTTTGATTTTATTATGCTTAGTCTTTGTCTGTAAAAACAGGCAGACTCATTGCATGCTTGTTTAGCTAATGCACTTTAGTCTTACGTTATTAGTGTATTTGCTGAGTATGTGTTAAAATATGCCTGAACCAGGGTGTTTGGTCAAACATTACTTATTCTTTAACTGGTATTGCGAATGTTTTGTACTGTGATTCTTAATAACCTGAGTAATGAGATGTCAGACAAACAGCACTGACCTGCTGGAAAAGACTAATCGTATTATGATATTTATCCTCCTAGGTGGGATTTTTCAGTCAACTTGATTGATTTGACAAATACAGATGCTCTTAGTTTGATGTTCTGACCTGAGGAATATGAATTAAGAAACCAGAGGCTCATCCAGCATAGAAAAACTCAGGATCAGGTGGTTCTTTTGTTACTGTTGTCTGTCTCACACAGTAGCAGCACACGGTGAGTCAAGGTGGCGATGCTGACAGCATTTAGAAAACAGGTCTGTTCCTGAGCTCACATGTGCTGCTCCTTATGGCACGCCAGGGTGCATTTCTGATTTGACAGCCACCGTTTGCTAAGGGTTCTTCAGCCACCATGTACAACATGTATTTTCATCAGTCAGTTAGCCGTTTTAGAGACATAGAGAGTACCTTATTTGTGTTTTACCAAGTACTTGCATGTTGGGTTGTTGCAAGAACAAAATGTCAGAGGTCAATACCAAAATCAGTGACAATTTCATTATTCTTGAAACCACTGCAAAAACTAATATGTAGGCACTCGTGGTTTTATGTCTTAATATAAATACAAAATGGAATATACCAAAACATTTCTTAAACAAAATATGCATTTTATGATGCAGACAGATCCTTTTGTCCACTAAATTAGGCACCCCCTGAAAGACATATAAACTCAGAACTCAGAAAAAAAAAGTCAGAATTGTGAGATGTTTGTGAGATATGAACATGGATTTGCTAGAAATCAAGTCAGAACTGTGAGAACTTAACTTAAAATGGCAAGATGTAAACTTGGAATTCTGAGAAAATAGTCAGAATTTCTAGATGAAACTTAAAATTGTGAGATTTTAACTCAGAATTGCTAGAAATAAAGTCAGAACTGTGTTGTAAACTCACAATTCTGAGAAGAAAAATAATTGTGAGATGCTAACTCAAAATTGCAAGACAAACATGGAATTGCTAGAAATCAAGTCCGACTTTTGTTAACACATGATTCTGAGAAAATCGTCAGATTTGTAAGATGTTAACTCAAAATTGTGAGATATAAACCTGGAATTCTGAGAAAAATGTCAGAATTACAAGATGAAAACTCAAATGTACGGATTTGAACTCAAAATAGCTAGAAATGAAGTCAGAATTGTGTCTTATACACTTGCTGTTTTGAGAAAAAAAAAGTCAGAAATGTGAGATGTTAACTCGATATTGCAAGATATAAACATGGAATTGTTAGAAAAAAAGTCAGAATTTTGTTATAAACTCGTGATTCTGAGAAAAAAAAGTCAAATTACGAGATGTTGACTCAAAATTGTGAGATTTAAACTTGGAATTGTGAGAATTAAATTCAGAATTGTGAGATAAAGAGTCGCAATAACATTTTTAATTTTGTTTTTACTTGGAAACAGGCTTCCATACATAGAACTGGCTGCATTTACACTGCTAGGTGTAATGATTCGATATTTTTGACTATTTTGGACTGTTGCTTTACATTCAGATAAGACAAACCATCAGTTTTTACATTAATACATCGCCAAGACAAAAGTGATGCTCCATTATGTGACCAAAGGTTAAGAAACATGAAACATTTTCTGCAACGCACTGTAAGCCTTGCTACCAAGTCTTTTTTATTGTAGTGTCAATTTGATGCCAAAGTACTTTTGACTGTTAGATGAGCATAATGAAAAGCGGACTAATGGCGCTTTTACGCCATTCGGCTCGGCACGGCTCAGTACGGCACGGCACGGCTCGGCTCGGCTCGGTTTGCGTTTCCACTGCAGTTTAGTACTGCTTTAGAGTTGGTGGGATTATTCACATGTCGTTATAGTTGCGCCGCCTCTACTGCCACGACTCCTGAAAAACGTTTTCATTCCACGTCGCCCCATCAAGCTCTCGCTGGATCCGCTCCTCTGCTGTCAATGAAA